TGAGATCATAAGACAAAGAAAGTCTCTTCTCCCTGGAGCAAAACGTCAGCCTTTCAAGTCAATAATTTAACAAATCCATATACAATAACTGCAGCTTGGTCTCTGTGCCAAGGCGGAAACAGAGCTGTCAGCATGGACGTGATGTTTAACTCCGTCCGACGAGCTCTCGGCATGGGGAAGCAGAAACCCGGAGTCAAACGCAGACCCGTCGGACTCACCCTCTCGTCCCCATGTGGCCGACCCAGCATCTCGGTGCATAAGCGTCGGCCATCCTGGGCGACTGTCCTCCTGTGCTGGGAGTCACATCTCAGAGGGAGGGTCCTAAGCCAGCTGTCACCAGCTCAGAGGAAAGGGATTTGTCTTGCTATAAATTCATGAAGTAAAACAGCATCTAAAAGCTGAGGCTTCACCAAGTGAACCAAACACATTACGAAAATGGATCGAGCAAGAAAGACTCACTCGATGTCACGAATGGAGACATTTCCATGATTCAGACAGCAGAGGAAAGCCGAGCTCCCTCACACACACACGTTCGTTCACGCTGCTCTGCTCCTTTACGTGGCAACACGACCTTCTGGTCGCCTTCACGCTCGTGAGCGTGGATTCACGCACAAGAACATCCCTGATTCTCGACAGACACTGGTTCGGAAGCGCGTCAGAGCTTCCGCGGCCTGGGTTTAATCCCAAGGTGGATCTGAGTTTAAGTGAAGTCGGCACCAAGAGCGGCCATCACGATCTAGGACCGGGGACCGACTATGAGCGCGACACGCCACAGACCGGCGCGCCTTCCTGCAGCGGGAGCTCGTCCGCTCGGGGACGGTGCATCTTCCCTCCTGTGAAACGACGTCTGTCGTGAGTTGCACTGTGTCCCTCAGAAGCACATGTGGAAGTCCCGACCCCAGGCGCCTGCGAATGTGACCTTATTCAGCAATAAATTCCTTGCGGAAATAATCAGGTTCAGATGAGAACAGCGATAAGCCCTGGATCCCCTAGGATGGGTGTCCTTCTAAGGAGAGGCACAGACAAGAGTGGCACGTGATGAGGGCGGCGGAGATTGGAGTGACGTGTCTGCCAGCCGACAGACACCAAGGATCACGGGCACCCACCAGAAACAGAAGAGGCGGGAAAGACCCTCCGCTAGAATCTCCAGAAGGAGCATGGTTCTGCCCATGCCTTGATTTTGGACTTCTGGCCCCAGCTGGGAGACACTCTTTGTCAACCTCGATGAAGCCTCATTCGATAGGATTTACCTATCGGCAAGGCCCCACGTTCCAGAGACTTCCGGACAGGGATCATTGCTATGCTACGTAACTGCACCGCGTATGGTGCACGCATCATACACATTGCCACACGTTCCCTCCCGAAAATAAAAAGTATCCCTTTTACTTGACCTAACAGAACAGAGAAAACAAATACCTTACATACCCCTCTACTAATTTTAAGCTCAAAATCATTCAAGCCTTTTTAAATCATTCAGAAACATGAGATGGAATCCAGTGACAGCACCGCCTTACTGTCTCATTGGCATCTTATCAGTGGGAAAGGAACAGCACAGACACAGGGCGCATCCGCGCGTCGGTCCAAGCGAGAAGCGAGCAGACAGGACCTCCACCCCAAACAGACACTGCCACCCAACAGCTGGAGCCGAGAACTCTGCAATCTGCCACCCTACTTCCCTCGGAGTTTTTGGAACCACCAACAAAATATCATTTATGAGTGTTTTGTTTTTGTTTTTTTTTTCATCCAAGAGGCAGCTGTGCAGAACAAATGTCCGCTGGGTTGGGGAGCTGGCAGCCAGGGTAGGAGGGACTCCAGGATGGGGGTGACATGTGCTGCATTAAAACATCGCCGCGGGAAGGCTCCGCACGCAGCCAGGGCTGTGAGGGCAGGTCACCTGACGTGGTTTATTTTCCATTTTCCTTCCTGTTCCGGTTATAAACCAGTCTCCCTTCTGCCTGCACTGCCTCAGCGCCACACGCTGCAAAATCCCTCTGTTCTGCCTGATCGAATCCGGCACCACCACACCTAAGTCACGCCCTGGCAGCTTCGCGCAGTTCCACTCTCTGAGGGCTTTAGGAGCTGGTTCCTTAGAAGGCATCATTGGGGGGCCATGTTATATAATACAGGGTTCCTCAGACCTCGCACCCCTGACATTTGGGGCTGCATAATTCCTTGCGGGGAGATGATGAGTGACATCTCTGGCTTCTACCTACTAGAGCAGGGGTCCCCAAGCCGCGGGCTGTAGACCAGTACCGGTCTGTGGACTGTTAGGGACCGGGCTGCAGAGCAGGAGGTGAGCAGTGGGCAAGAGAGTGAAGCTTCCTCTGCATTTGCAGCCACTCCCCAGCACTAGCCGGGAGAGCGAAACCCTCCAAAAGAATACAACAGACGTCTAGCATCACCGCCTCAGCTTATCAGGTGTTAGATTCTCATAGGAGCCCAAAAGTTTGGGGACCGCTGTCTTAGATGACAGTAGTATGCCCCCAGTCCAGGTTGTGACCATCGAAACCACTTCCAGACATAGACAAATGTCCGCTGGGGGAAAGACCCCTCCCGGCTGAGAATCACTGGCGTCGTGACTGAGGGCCAGGCTCCGGGGTCAGAACCCCGGGGCTCGAATCACCTCCTCCACGCGCAAGCAGCCTGGCCGTCCGTGAGCGAGGCCCTCGCCAACTGTGTCTTTATTTCCACACCTGTAACCTTGAGCATGGTGGTGTCCCCCCCATGGAGCTCTGCGGGATGAACAAGGTGACGTAGGCAGGGTCGGGCGCCGTCCAGATGATGCCCGTGCTGGCCGTTCGCACTCTGTGTCCGTACTGGAGATGCCGACGGCTGAGATGTACACTCAAGCCGCCTGAGCAGTGACAAATTTACCTTACCCGAAGAGAGGTCTGGCCTTGGCGCTGAGCAAAGGAAGCTATGCCAAGGCTCCTCCTAGATAAGAGCGTTCTTGTTCGTCTGAGGATTTGGGCCAGCACAGTTTAACTGTGATTTACGACAGAGGCCTGGGGACATGCAGCATCGGCCCTGCCTCTGGAGAGGCTGGACACTGCAGGCCGGCCACGCAGGCAGCACGTGACTGAGCCCTAGTAAAAACTCTAGACGCAGAAGTGTCGGCTGAGTTTCCTCGTTAGGCGATACTCCACACGTAGTGTCACGTATCACCGTAGAGAGAGTGACCGCACAGGGAGAGGACACTGTGAGTCCCACAGACTGTTGTTCTTCTGGACACTTCTCCTAGCCGATGCGGGTCTGTACGTTCTTCGTAATAAACCATAACCGTGAGAGCAAGATGGCTTCCACTGAATTCCGTGAGTCTTTCTGGGAAGTTATCGAACCTCAGGGTGGGCTCGGGAAGCCCCTGACTTGTCACTGGTGTCAGCGGTGAGGGTGGCCTCATGCGATGCGCTCCCGCTCGTCCTGACAGCAGAGCTGGTTGGACCACCTCCCGATGGGTGCGGTCCTTGAGCACCGTGAGCTGCTATGGCACTTCTGGAAGGTCACATGAGGGGCCCACCCGTGTGGTGCCAATATGAAAAGATGCTAGACTGTTATGGTTAATGTGACAGACTACTTGTATTTTAAATCCGCGTGCCTATTGAATGGGGCAAGTGTGTCCAAGAGGGCTGGGCCAGTGGAGGCATGGGACCCGAAGTGTCCCTCTTCCAGCACGGCACGTGAGCAGGCCCATGGCGTGAGGCGGACACCCTGCCCAAGCCCCTGACCTAAGAAGAGGGGCCGAAAATAGCTGCGACCTGCTTGGCTGTGGCCTTTTCTGAGCATCGAGCAAACACAGCTGTGCCCCAGAAACCACCCACGCCACCAGCTGGGCTGGCCACCCCACCCACAGTGTCAACAGGGCTGAGGTTTCACGCAGAAGCCAGTCCTTCCTGGGGCCGTGGCAGCGTGAGGATGGCAGCTGGAATATGGGTGGGGTCACACCTGAGGTCAGGCGTGCGAAAATCCCACTCTACATTAGCTTGGAAACAGCCATATCAAAGCACACAGGAAAAACGGATACAGAGATGCTCAGCCAGCAAACACGCCTGCGAGAAATCATCTTGGGAAAACGCAAGTAAAGCGACTATATGAGGACCCGCTCGGCACTCGATTCGCTCTCTCCCCGGGGGGCTACAGACCCCATGGCTTGGATGACAAGGTGGAGATGCTCAGCCAGCAAACACAACGCCTGCGAGAAATCATCTTGGGAAAACGTAAGTAAAGCGACTATGTGAGGACCCGCTCGGCACTCGATTCGCTCTCTCCCTGGGGGGCTACAGACCCCATGGCTTGGATGACAAGGTTGAAGCTAGTAACTCGTACCACCATATCTGCAGCCAGGACCTGCCTGCGCCCTGGACGACACGCCACTGGATCCAGCTGCCAGCAGGATACACCCAAGTGGCAGCGGCAAAAGGAAAAGTCCCCTCGTTAGGCTGCACAATCGCAAAGACCTACAGTCCCCCCTGTGAAGCCTTATCCGAGCCAAGGGCCCCACCAGTGTCCACATAAAGAACTGTCGGTTCCCAGCAGGTATGAACACAATCCCATCGATATGACATATTCATGCTGATACCAAATCAGTGTCGCAGAAGTCTGTCTTTAAGGAGGATGATCTGGTGATCGAGGAAGAGTTCAAGGGCAACTACCAGTCTCAGAGTTAGAGGCACAGGTCAGGCTCCCATCCCAGCGGAGTCCTGGATAACAGGAAGCTCAGGGACCTGGAGAAGATGGAGCCACCAAAACGTGGTGAAAACCCAGACTTTGCCAACTCAAACCAGTGACGGGTGAGACCCAGGCCTGTGCCCTGCCTGCCAGCAGGACCAACGAGTAAAAACGGGCATCGTGTGACTTCGGGCAGGAGGTCGCCACTGAGACAACTGTTTCGAAAAACTTTTTTTCTCAGCTGACATTCCCCTGTTCAGGGCACGTTCACAGGATTAAGTATGTCACCAACCAGAGCACCTAAGGAAAAGACAAAAACCATTTCAACACCTTACCTGGTCCCAGGGAGAGACAGTGCCTCCAAAACACATGAACAAGTGTGCCATGGCGACGAGACAGAGCCATATGACCACAGAGAAGAGGCGGAGCAGCTTCTTAAACACGGACTCGATGCACACGAGGATGAATATCGCGAAGAAAATCGCCAGGGCGGTGGGGACCGTGATCAAAAATGCCACGTGGTCTTCAACTTCCTAAGAGGAAAAAAAAAATACATTGCGAAAGTCCATGGCAGCAGTGACTTATGTTATCAAAATGTTCTCGGCGTTCATCGGTGTCAAAATATATTGGATTTTAAAAACTATTCGGAAGTAAAACAGTTCGAACTTTTGAAAATGTAATTTTCCTATTAAATAGCCACGTTGTTCTATATAAATATCCCCGTATTCGATATTTAAATTCTGAAAAACAGCTATGTCATCAAATTTAAATTTTCCCTGAAAAATGGAGAAATGGATTTCTTTCCAAAGTAAATGCAAAAACACATAATATCAGGGTAAAATAAGGCAACCAACTTCACTGCCTGCATCACAGGATAAGAAACGTCCTGGCCATAGAAAATTAAGTCTTCCAAGTGATTTGAAATGTTTTATTTTTAAAAGTCTAAAAACCACCTTAGTCTCTACGGTGATGAGCTTTTATTTTAATGCACGGCAATTAATATAGAAAACAAGAGAGCAAGAAATACTTAGAAGAACATGCCATCTTTCCAGTTTCCTTCCTCACCCCTCTTGGGCTCCAGGAACAAAAAGAAAATGCACATTATTAGCCTCTTACTAACGCATGTTTTTAAAATCCACGTTTGCACACTAATCCTCATTTCCTATGTATCTCCCCCCACCAAGGCGCACTATTTCAACTCTGCGCAATTTGGCATCATGTAAGCAATATCACGCTTCCTCTGATTGTGCAAGCACACGTTTAAATTTTAGCTTCTGCAGAGCCTAACACTCGCACCTGGCCAAGCAGAGGTGCACTGTGGGACGGAACACAGTTCCAAGTCCTTTTTTTTTTTTGGCCAGGCAACCCTTGGTTGACCTCACAGATTGCAAGGACCTTGTCAGCTTACGATCCCTTATTTTTTATTTTTTACGCCTATAGCACCTGGTCTTTCTAGGTGGTCTCCCATCCAAGTACTAACCAGGCCCGACCCTGCTTAGCTTCCAAGATCAGACGGGATCAGGCGCGTTCAAAAATGGCATGGCCGTAGACCAGTTCTAGGTCTTGAACCCTCACCCAACATGTTTAGTTACCAAAGCAGCCAAAGGAGATTCAATCAAAACAATCCCCATGGCCAGGACGCTGAGAGCTTCCATCGAAGTTTTAGAATATTAAAAATCACAGAAAAGCGGAGACTTATAAGGCGGCTCCTTCCAATACTGGGGCCTGGCGAAGCCCTCCCCTTTTCTGGTGGCACCGGGTTCACCGGTCGCACGAGCAGTTATAACTTCACCCTGGAGATGGCCCCATCTGGACATCAAGCCACAGGGAGGTGGAGAAGCAGAGCAGATGAGCCAAATAACCACACAGGGTCTGGGTTACCACTCCAGGGGCACGAGAGGGACCTGGGCCCACTCGTGACGACCCATTTCCCTTTCTCTCTCACGGTTAGATGAGTGCCAAGAGAAATGACACTGGAGAAATGGCACCTCCGCAGACACTAACAGGTGCATTCGTGTGCTTTTTATTGAGGTCTAAGCCCTTTTGCGCATAGTAACCTCTTTAATACGACAGTCCTGTGGGGGGCACTGGCGTCGGCAATCCTGCACCGGGGAGAAAACCGAGGCGCCAAGGATGAAAACGAGGTGCCGTAGGTCGACCGAACCAGCGAGGGAGAGAGAACCCAGACTCCGTCTTGGCGTCTGTGCTGCCCTGCCCTCTGGTCGTGCAGACAGGGTGGGCGACACCACGTGGGACCAGCCCCTGAGTGGCCAAAAGAACACGTTTCCAGAACTGGCAGGAGACAAGAGGATCAAACGAGATGTTCTCGCCCTCCCCTTCATTGCTATTTTCGCCCGCGATGAAGTGTCTGAGTTGTGCCCTTACCCTCAGACACAAACGACGGTCATCGCGAAAGGGTATCGGGTATCCGCCAGCATGTCCGTGTTCCCTCAGACACCGCGAGTCAACGTAAACATGGACATGACGGCGTGTCTGTTGGGGATAGCGAACTTGATTGAGATCTCCACGTGCATGGAGCCATGAAAACCGATGTTATTTTAAATCTCCCAAAATAAACTTAACCGAGCTATGGACAGAAAGCTAACCAGGGAATTACCAGGACAGCTGTGTTCCCAGTAAGACTTTTCGCTTATTTCATTAGCCCAGGAGGGGAGAAGCAACTGTTGACTTTAGTGGCTCTTATTTCTCCAGAAAGACTGAAAGTGGTCTAAAAATATGCATAACTGTAAAGTGAAAATCAGGAGCTAAAGGGACAGAGAGATTGCAATGAAGTCCTTCCAGGAAGTGGAGGACACACTGGGTCACCTGCAGGTGCATTTCCCGCATTTCTGTGGACAGGACAAAGCCCGTGTCTCACCGCGCTGAGTGGGCGCAGGATAAGACTCGATACTGTCCTGGGCTTCAAACGTCCGAGTCTCCACCTCGCTTTTTTTCTTTTTTTTCTTTTTTTCTTTCTTTTTTTAAATCAGGGTCTTAGTTACTGGAAGTGACTTGTCTGGGCTGCAAGGTGACTTCTCCATTAGGCATAGTGGACACAGTACTCAGGTCCCCTAATATTTTGAGAGACCCCAAAAGTGCTTTAATTTCTTGTAAAATCAGAAAGAAACAAGCTTTAAGGTCAGAGTACAGCTATCTCATGCTAACACACTTGTACACTGTAAAGGAGAATGTGTTTTTAGGGGTGAAGGGGCATAAGAAGGCCCCTCAGTCATAATGAAGTCCTGGGGGGCTGGTGGTGAACCCCTGCTCGCCAGGTTCACAATATTCCCAGGTCCTTGGCACACATCAGAGGAGGACATTCAGCTTCAAACAGTGTCCCCCACCTCAATGGGTGAGCTGGTGCCCACACGGCCAGCGGCTGAAGATGGTCAGCTGCTGCTCATGAGGTTCACGGTCATGGCCACCGTAAAACCTGAGCCCACTGAAGGACAGCAGCTCTTCTAGAAAGAGAACAGCCGTCAATTGATCCCGCATCTGCCTTTGAACTCTAAGTTCCAAGAAAGTTTTAATATAGACTTCTCTACAAAATAGAATCTTTTATAAGAGTGTCAAGGCAAAAACAGTAGCGTATTCACTGGAGAATGTATAAGCTTAGAAATCGCGCTCTTTCCCAGCCTCGCTGCTGCCATCACGCAATTTTCTTAAGGCTAAGAAAACTGAATTGAGGAATGCCTTCAGACCTCGGATGGCACAGTCTTCCCCCTTCCCCCGGCCCGTCCCCAGAGGACCGGAAGAAGGGAGCCGCAAGGCGCACCCTGTTTCTGAAGCTGGTCGAGTTTTCAAAATCCGGAGTATAAAACAGAGTAGCTTAAAATAAAGCAAACTAAAACATTAAAAACATCCTCAATCTAAATTAAATATGTTTACGTACCCCAACCCTATCTCCCTTCATGCAAAAAAAAAAGACATAATGCAAACTAAATGAAATGTACTAAATTGTCATTATTACCACTAAAATGTGCTAAAATGCCTTTAAAATATGTCTTTAAAAAGGTTAAAAAAAAAAAAACCGTATAACACAGACTAAATGAAATGTACTGAAAGGCCTTTAAAAGACAGATGCTGAGCCAGTATCGCCTCCTGTAATGATAATGGTTCCTATGGCTCTCTTCAAACATTTTAGTCTTTCATTTTTGATGTATTTCCTGGTAATTTTAGATGGCTTCTAATTGGTAGGCCTATTTTATTTATTATGTGACCGCTCCTTTCTTACATGCTTTTTCATGGAGCAACAGATTATCTGTATTTTCATCCTTTTCATGTGTACTTTTCATTTTTTATTAAATAGTACTATTTTTCATTTAGATGGCAAAGGACAATGTAAAGTAAAACACTGCTTTTCTATAAAATAATATTACAGTGAAGTGTTTTGAAGTCCCGTGGATTGCAGGCAGAAACCACTTCCACCTCTTACTGCCACGTGAGCCGGAGTGAGCTCTGACCACCCTAAGCCCATGTCTTCCCGTGAGTGGCAGTATAGACACGGCGTGGCTGCAGGGTGTCTGTGCCTCGCAGATGCACCAGAAGTAACAGAGAATATTATCGTGATAACCAGCGCTTCCTTCTTCCTTCAAATCCCAGTACTTTCTCACCAAGGCTAGTCTGACTATTCATTATTAGAACGATGCCCATTTTGCATTCTAAATAATATTTTACTTTACTGCCATAAGTTATTTAGAAGTTCTCATTGGGCAAAAAGAAATCAACTTTTAGCCTCAATATATATTTGACTGCAGGTGTATGTGTGTAGATATATATTTTCATTCATTCATATATAATATTATGTGTGTGTGATATAATAGAAAATATATTTTTCATTTTCCACATAGAATCATACTTTAGTTACCATGAGGTGTGAAAAAAATAAATAGAACTTTTGATTAAAAAAATTCTACGAAACTGTGATGAAATAAAGACCTCAATAAACGGAGAGATGGTCCGTCTACATGGATAAGGAGACAATATGATCAAGATGTCAGTTCTTCCTAAATTAATCCAGAGTCAATGCAATCCCAAGAAAATTCCCAGCAAGTTATTTTGTAACTATCAACACACTGATTCTAAAGCTTATATAAAGAGGCAGAGACCCAGAATAGCCAACTCAATGTTTAAGGAGAAGAATAAAGCTGAAGGCCTGACATTTCTTCGCTTCAAGACTTACTGTAAAGCTACAGTAACCCAGACAGGGTGCTATTGGAAGAAGAATAGACTAATAGATCGATGGAACAGAGTAGACCCACATGAATCTAGTCAACCGATAGCTGGCAAAGGAATGAAGACAACTGGTGTTATTGGAAGAAGATAGACTAATAGATCAATGGAACAGAGTAGATCCACATGAATCCAGTCAACCGATAGCTGGCAAAGGAATGAAGACAACTCAACGGAGAAAGGACAGTATTTTCAGCAAAAGATCTTGGAACATGTAAACAGGTATCTACAGGCTGAAAAAAAAAAGTGAGTCTAGATACATACTTTAGACCTTTCACAAAAATTAACTCAAAATAGATCATAGATCTCAATGTCAAATGCAAAAATAACTCTGAAAAATTCTAAATGTCTCCCCCATATCCAAACGTTGGTCAATTGG